TAAGAAAAAAAATTTCTTTTAGTAGTCGTATCGATCGAGTACGAAAAGCGAGTAATTCTATGCGGGAGAACTTGTTTAATGTCCTTGCAGCAAGTGCATTTGCAACGGTATAAATCGATAACTACGAAAATAATCTAATAAGTGTCAATATGTTTTCAAAGAAATTGCTCTACTGAGTACTCGTTCTTCTTACGTAAATATGATAAAATACACATTGCAGAGAGAGAGAGAGAGAGAGAGAGAGAGAGAGAGAGAGTGAGAGAGAGAGAGAGAGAGAGAGAGAGAGAGAGAGAGAGAGAGAGAGGCGAGAAATAACACTGTAAGTTGAATAAATATAAAACTGCAATCATTTATTTTGCGGAATTGATCACTAATATCATGTCGTAAAAAAAAGAAGAAATATTTCCAAAATATACCAAAGTATTTGAACGAGAAAGTCACATCGCTGATATATCGAAACATGGTCAGAGCGCAAAAAAGCGAGACTCACAAATATTAATTCAATATCTCGATATATCGACATATCACGATGCATATTACATAATTTAACAATAACATTTTTGAATTCTGATGATAAAATGCGCAGATTGGATTTGTAAATTAAAGCGTAAGCAAGAATAAAAATGTAACATTTTGATAAATTATTGATGTATAAGTATAAGATAAAATAATCCAATCATAACCGCGCAAGTTCGTCATGGGCCATGTGCCCGGATCTGATTATTTTCTTCACTCAATTAACGACCGCTATTTGATCCGCGATACTTTCCCGAGAGGAAAACGGTTAAAACGATTCTCGTCTAGGTCGTTAAAATGTTTACGACGCCAACCGAGATTTCGCGTTTTACACGTGGGAGCATTCCTCGTTCCTGCAAAGAAATGCGGCGACAACAGAAATCCGTGATTGCGAGGAGAAGTCATTCTGTTCGTAGAAAGATTCAGATTTTGTATTGAAGTTTCATTCACGGAATATTCATAATGACTGTGTCGTTTGATATTTTGTATTCAACAGTTCTGTCTAAAGAAATATCGAGATTTTACACAAGGGAACATTATTTTATATACATATAATAATGCTCTAAATAAGGGAATCGAATATACATATAAACTCTTCATTGCAAACTATTGGAAGAAAATATTTTTTCCTTTCCAAACTTTTTTTTTTATTTCAAACTTTGAATCTTGCATTTGCATTCATCCCTGCATCTGAAATATTCTATTATAGATTGTGTCAAGATCTCCTGATATATAATTCTGCCATCATAATACCAATGAAATACATTTGCATTACATCATCGACAGATGGCCTATGCTATAATATAAATATATTCCTATCATATTTCTTTTTAAATTGACATATTATGCTAATATGCAAAGAAATATTTTTAAGTTACAATTGCAATGCAACATACGACGAGAGAAATAAATTAGAAGCAACATTTGCAACCAATTATTTTATTCCAAAAGAAGGAATTGTCGACACGAAACGAAGATTACAGAGTGACAAGTAACGTACATATATAGAAAGTTTAATTAAGTGCAAAAATAGACACAGAAAATATTTACATTCTGATAGAAATATCCACACCCACACAGATACACATGATATTTTTCTTATGCTTGACGTAAAAGGCGTAAAAACTGTAGATTATCTATAATATAAGCGCAGCGACTTTAAATTTTACACGAAGCTTCTACTTTTACGTTTCTTTTAGTTAGATCATTTTTTTTTATAAACGTCACAAAACGCAATTTTATTCAAATTGCACATTTTGTTCCAATAGCCGAGATTTTCATTCAATTTCGCGACTTGATTACAATCATTTAAAATGTTTGAGACAGATGAGAGACAGAGAGCAATTTCTTTCAAAGAGTGATATTTGCGGCAAGTAATTTAAAATATAGAAGTACATCGCACATTAGTATGCATGTCACTAATTGCAAGGATGTTATGAATAGAGACTGTCAATAGAGATCGTGAGAACTATATTAATCATAGAAATTTGAAGCCAAATAGAGATTCAATATTGCTACAATAGTACTGTCTAGCTGACTAGTTTAACTACAGATATATATCGCACCGCTTTCATGGATTACTGCGATGTGTTGAACGTAGGAATTAGCCATTCTCTACTCTATTCGATTTTATCACGTGTACTATCTGCCGCTCTCGTTCTCTCCCTTTAATCCGTTCATTAGTTATAAACATGAGAATATTACATGAGAATTGGTAATACAACTCTGGAATGCTGCCAAATCACGAATCACATAAACTGAAATCGAATTTGTTTATCATTTAGCTCCCATTAATTCTCTCAATATTCGTAAATTTAGGCGAAAATATATATTCTAAAATATTTATCCGAATCGTGGGTTCCATTAATCCATTAATCGTGTATCTTTCGAATTCTAGCTTAGCTCGCCAAAAATGCGACGTTTTGTATCTCCGATCGTATCTCTCGCTGATATTTAATTTGCTGAGACGTTACCGATGAAAAAGTATAGAGATAATATTAATACATACATCGACATATCAGTTAAACGATATATTTGCCTGTTACAGGTTCTAATTCTATTTTATCTCACTGTCTTGTTTGCAGCTTCTAATCTCTTAATCGGATTTATACGCGACAGGCAAATTGTAGATTCCGCTAGTATACACACGTGTCACTCGACAGAACGAAATGAGTATATTGCATCTTAAATCTAGATTATATTTCTGTTCTAAATGTTTTAAATACTACCTATAATAAGTAATGTTATATTGTTTTCACGCGAATAAAACTCGCAAAATATCACCGTTAGAAATAAATACATTTACCTTAAATATAATCAGGAATTTAAAGATGAAACTAATCTGATTAATGTCCAACGTTAGACTTTTGAGTCTTCGTTAAAAATTAAATTTTTTTTTGAGTCATTTTACAGAATGTAATTTATTAATCCCAATCAGCCAAAATTAATTATCTTGTTTATCTTTATCAGGATTTATTAGATTTATTAACTAGATTTTCAATTGCGCCTTTTCTGTTGTCGATTTCCTTTATTTTACGAAAAGTCGTGATATATCGAAAGTACGAAGAATTTAATTTGCAATTTGTCAATCAATATCAAACGTGAACGAGGCTTATCGTTGCCTGACTGATGTCTCTGTACATAGCCAACGGCATTTCCTGAAGCGAATTGTGTGAAACGTATTACGATTAACGACTAACGATACATCTATGGAAAGATTACTCTCACACGCGCTTTGATACGTAGGAGAAATTTATGGCATTTACATTTGAAACTTACGAGGGTCATTTCATAAGTAATGCACAATGTGGTAACGCCGCGGATTGCATAATGCAATCCCAACGAAATTTTTCGACAGTTCTAATGGAGGACTTGAGGAAGCGATACGTGATTTAAAAACTTCCATCGTATATATGCATAACGAAAATTGTAAGGATCTCTGAAGAAGGTCTCTTACAGGATTTCAAAAGAGCATTATTGATTATAAGTATACTTGCAAACAACTTTGTCAGCCTGAGACTTTACTGTAAAAGCTCCAAATATAATTTCTACTGATATAAAAATTTGAGATAATTGAAGCAAGAATTAATTATAAATTTTATTAATTATTAATTACTAGAATAAGTTGTCACATTGCTTTGATTAGATTTTTTTTTAATTTTAGTTACTTTTTAAGAGATGGTAAAATAAAGCAAACCACAAAATCAAGTTTATTTGTCTTATCTGAGCTCGTTTGTATAACGATTAGTTGCAATCTTAGATAGATTTTACAATAAATAAATAAATTTTTTCGTAAACTTGCTATAATGTTGATATGCATACAATTTTACATGCTATGTTGCAATCGTTGAAAAATGTTCATTTGATTATATTTTAGAAAATTAAAAAGAAAACAAATAATTTTTTTATATTCTGTGATGAATGCATAATCCAAAGAAAAATGATCGGAAATTAATCGATGCAAAAAAAAAGAATAAAATCTCTATCTCTAAAAGAAGAGATTAATTAATTCTATTTACATAGCCGCGTAAAATCGAGAACATTTTATAAGAAATGAAAAATTAAGCAGTCAGAGCGCTCTTATTTTTTAAAACTATTTAATCTATAATTTTGTCGAAAGCTTCTCTTTTAAACCTTTAAAACTATTCCTTGTTTGCCTATTTGAGATGCAAAATAAGAGAGCTTAATTCTTATCTTAAGTATATATAAAACTTGAGAAAACTAAAATTGAAAATAAAAAGAAAGTTTTGATTCTGGAATAAAATATCAAACTACAAAGGCAAACCACAACCATTTAATACATATATATGAAACAGTATGTTAATTAAAAAGTATTATTAAATTCTTTTCATGCACATTTTTCCATCTTAATATGCGGTTAATTTGCCCTACGTCACGCGATATTCTGCCCTGACAGTGCGATATAAATTGGCTTTCCATATTTCTGCTAAATATTAATCTCGAGCTTTCAATTGAATATTCCTTTTTGTAGCCAAAAGCTTTCAGGGTCATTATAAAAACAGTAAAAGACCTGACAGTTTATGTTGCAATTATTTCCGTTGATGTTTAGATACAAATATTTACATTTAACGTGCATAGTTTGCATATATTGTAATACATTTAATGCATTAACACAAATACATTATGATTGTAATAAATTAACATCACGTTAAAGCATGTTAATTATAATATGTGTGTCATAAGAGATAAAATAGTCTCACGGTCGTACATAAACTTTCCAAATATCAAACATTTAACATTTAGAGCAAATTATATTATCGCTATTATTGCGCTTTAAACATATCTACCATCTATCTGCTTTGAACATATTTCAAATATCATTTATCTTTGGTTGTACTTATCACATGTGAAAATGGTATTTTTCCACATCGGAAGATACAAGCCGATAATAAACGAACTGATTTCAAGCTCCTATAAGCTCCGTATAAAAGTGCTTTTCATCAACCCTTTCTTTTATTTTACAGCCGGTGCATGTGACTGTTGCCGGAGGTTTTGTAACACGGACAACGAGAGGAGGAGGATCAAAATGCAAAAGGGATTATATTCTCGTTAACGGAGAAGAGAAACATTTCTCGCTTTGAACTGGAACGAAGGGCCATGTCCTCCTGGCCATACACAACGAGCCCTACTCTAACTTCGTCGTTTATAATGTTGACGCTTACGACACGAATACCGTTGGCACTAACGTCGAATTATACCAAGGCCGATGGAGTCGTTTGGGACGACAACATGACGAAGGAGGTGGACGACAAGGAGGAGGAATACACGCCATACAGCGAGCGGCCCGAGACGTACATCGTACCGATCGTCTTCCTCCTCATCCTGCTGATCGGTCTCACCGGAAATGGCGTGCTAGCCCTTACGATCCTCCGGCACACGAATATGAGAAACGTGCCCAACACGTACGTTCTGTCGCTGGCGCTCGGCGATCTACTGGCACGTAACGTTTTGATTCCTTTTGAATAGAAAATTCTACATATGCGACGTGACATGCAAAAATGCGCGCGACTCTGCTCACACATATATATATCTCTCGACTATCGATTTAAGCGAGCTTATCAATATTTGAGATGCTAACGAGTATTTGTGCAGCTGCAAATATCTATCAAAGGATACGACATTTTCAAAATTCTACAAATTTTATAAATTTATGTTTGTGCTTACAAGTTTGAAAAACTTGTACAAACGGAAATATTTGTGAATAAAACAGTAATAAAATAAAAATGTATGTAAATGGGATAGAATAAACATGTATATAAAACAAGGAGAAATATATATTTTTATAAATGTTATTTCTATTACATTTACATACATTTTTCTCTATTATTACATCCTGTGTCAATATTTACATCAATAAAGTGTCGTAAATGCGTTACATATATATCGCTTAGTAATATTTCTTGCATATTTTTGTGTTAAAATGATTATTATTTTCTTTGCCTTCTGCTATATTATTAACAGTAATAAATGGAATTAAATATGTGTGAAAAGCTGCTATTATTTGTCGGAATGTCAAAACTCGGACAAACTCGAGAGATTTATAATTTACTTTAATGAATATAATATTTTTAAATTCCTGATATGCGCAAACGCATATTTTTATAATCGTGCAAATACTTGCTCGATATGATATAGACTAACAATAAATAAAATGCATCTTAATGTTTTTCAGCTAGATGTTATCCATCGTCGTAAAACGTATTTATAATAAATGGCGTTGCATCGATCATGGTTAATCCATTTATCATCAAAAGTAAAGCATTATAAAGTATTGACATAACGTCACATTAAACTTTTAACAGATAACTTATTGCCACTTTAGCCTTATTCTTTCAGAAACTTGTTTAAAACTGTGACGCACTTTCTTCAAAATAAGCGCTTTTAAAGTAAATCGCTTCTAAGCTTTTTTTCTCATATACATTCAACAAGATCAAGAAGGCAATCGATTCGTCGTTCGTTTCATCTGTCAAACATCTGCATTAATAGAATCCAAATTTAATTTTGTTGCGGTTTAAAAACTTATTTGATACATACATACATATATATAATGTTGCATTTGTGTATCTGTGGTGTGACATGGGTGTCCGCAGAATTTTTCCGGACAAACTAGTCCGATTAAGAGAATACGACGATAAGGTAATGACACACTAACATCGACGGATCTCCAAAGATTCACTTAATCATGTAATCAGATTGATCGTTCAAGATCTTCCGTCCGAATCAGTCTAAAAATAAATAAATACGCGTCTATATTTATGCAAGTCGTAGAAATGTCATCTGATCTCGTCAAACAAGTAATGCCGCTACTTGAAATGAACCTTTCTACATCTTGTTGTGACGTTGACGGTTACGTCATAACCATGGGCGTCCGCAGAATTTTTCCTGTTTAGGGGGGGGGGGGCATATCACTTTCAGATTAATTTTAAAAAATGTATACTTAAATATTTTTACATCTTTTAGTATTAAAGCTTTCTCATCGCATCAAAATAGATGTAAATTGAAAAATATTTGTGTTCTTTTGTGTTTTTTTAAATAATTTAATTTTTTCAATTAAAAAATTTTTTTTTTCATTTTCCAGGAGGGGCACGTGCCCGTTTTGCCCCCCTGCCCCTGCGGACGCCCATGGGTGTGATGAATAGCGTGTTTCGCGGAAGTTATTAGTTTTGTTATTAAACTTAATGCATATCGTTATATCGGGTGAAAGAGCAATATCGATCGGCTTAGCTGTGACGTCGATGCAGCTACCAGAGTTTGTCGATTCTCGCATCGTCGCTCCACAGTCAATCTTGTGCAAAGAGGATGTTTCTCTCACGCAACGATGCATACAGAATAGAATTTGGTAGGCAGAATTTTCGGCCAATATTAACCAACTTTTATATCATTTCTGATATATCAGGCAACAGCTTTTCGATGTAACAAACGTATTTCGATCTTTGCACAGTTGATCCCGAACTTATTTTCTATTTATTTGTTAATAATAACAGCAATAGGCTCGAAGTACTAACAATTAAGTGGGAAAACTGGCAAATAAAAGCCAAGGCGCGAGTATTGGTGTGCAAACTTATTATCGTTTAATTTTGGTAATAAATGTGTTTATTATTAAAAATAAAATAAATTTTAAAAATAAAGTACTAAAATAAATTTTAGTTAAAAATATACGTTTTTTGATCCATCTTCAGCATGGATAAAAATATATAAAGATTATATTGATATTTTAAAACTTGACATACAATATAATGTAAATTATTATTTTTGTTGATTGATATATTGTAAACCACTGACGGATATACGTGTGGCGATGGCGGTTGGACATTGTCCACCATTTTGTACATATTCTAGCGGGTTCTAGTGAGTCGACCATTCTGATTATCAATTTTAATTTAGAATTTGACTACAACAACAAATATTGTGTATGTCAAGTTTTAAAATTCCAATGTAATCTTTATATATTTTTATCCATGCTAAAGATGGAATAAAAAAACGGTCGGAACGCGTACATTTTTAATACACATTTATTACTAAAATTTAACAATACGAATTTATTTATCACCTTTTATGTAGAATCGCGACGAATGCGGTCTTAGTACAAATTGTTCGAAACATTAAATTTTGATTTAAGATTTTTAAAGAATGTCAATAATGTTAAATTGAATCAAACTAAGTCTCGGTCGAGAATCTTTCCAAACATTATTAAAGTTTAATAGATGTGTACGTCCTTCTTATTATTCAATTTTCTTCTCGATCGATTTTGATCGATGTTTATCGAGCAGTTCTTCATATTATTCTATAGGTCATAGTAACATGTGTCCCGTTCACCTTTACCGTCTACATTTTGGATTCCTGGCCTTTCGGACTATTACTATGCAAACTTTCCGAATGTGCCAAGGACATCTCCATCGGCGTTTCCGTTTTCACGCTGACTGCTCTCTCAGCGGACAGGTTCTTCGCCATCGTGGATCCTATGCGAAAATTACACGTCACAGGTATATAATATAATCATAGCTTCGTGAACTGTGAGAGATCTTTGTGTACGAGAAACACGAAACGAGAGAGATATCGGAGACAACTATTGATATGCAAGTAAGAATTTTCTCTGTCAAAGATATAACGTTCTCGAACTAACAATCAATACTTTTATCGATCAGGTAAAATTTATATCTTGCATTTTCAAGAGCGAGGGACAAAAACGAGCTATTGAATTATTCGATTATTCGTTTAAGGTAGCGGAAGACGTGCAACGCGCTTTACCGTGATGGTTGCGGTGCTGATTTGGGTATTGGCTATAGTATGTGCGATCCCGGCTACCTTCTCGTATATCAGAGTCTTCAAGGTCAACCGGAATGTGAGCTTCTGCGTAAGTCAGATCATCATGTTCATAACGAGTCCCGTTTTAGATCAAGCTTGTGTGTAAAGTTCGTCGTAAACCGCTGTATATAGCACTAAAGAGCGAACGACGTTCTACCCTACTCTGTGAAACGTCAAGCAAACACCCCTCTAACGATTTCGATGTATGTTCATGCAAATTGAAGGCGTGCTATCCGTTTCCGGACGAGTTTGGGCCAAATTATCCAAAAGTGTTGGCGATATGCCGCTTCTTCATCTACTACGTGATACCTCTCAGCATCATCGCAGTTTTCTACATGCTGATGGCCAGGCATTTAATGCGCAGTACAAGAAATATAATCGGCGAGATGCAGGGCCAGGTAAAATTTGATTGCGCGCGTTTAATTATAATGTGGGAAGAATTCAGATGTTTTGTTCAAATTCAATTTTCAATCCTCTTTTTTTCTCTAGCGTTCTCGAAATTCTCTCTTATCATTTGTAGACAATTTTAGATTACGTCAGGATTTATGAGAGATTATTATAGCGTTCCATTAGTTTATACAGTAAACACATTACGTACACTTTTATGTGAGCACACGCCGATGCATGCGCTAACATTCCAGGTGAAGCAAGTACAAGCCCGTAAAAAAGTAGCAAAGATGGTGATGGCCTTCGTCATTGTGTTTGCCGTATGTTTTTTACCGCAACACGTTTTCAAGCTGTGGTTTTATATCTATCCGACTGCGCAAATGGATTACAATGCCTTCTGGCATTATTTCCGTATTTTAGGTTTCTGCCTCGCTTTCACCAACAGCTGCATCAATCCCATCGCTCTCTACTGCGTGAGTGGTACTTTCAGAAAGTACTTCGACAGGTAAGTTCAAAAAATGTAGAATCCATTGTACAGTAGCAAAGAGAATTTTTGTGATAACTTCGTAATTTTTATTATATTCTCCGGGGAAATAACTTTTCACAAGATCCGTCGAATATTTTCGCACTTTTCATATTTGTCGAGTTTGGAAATTTTTGTATTAAAAAGTAAAATAAATCATTGCTTACTTTTGAATAATTCAATCAAGATCTCTCTTTTTCGAAATTCTCACAAAGTTTCCTCCTCGGACGAGTGCATCCGTCACATTGATTAAATATGTCCAAACAACTTTATAATTTGGGTCAGATATCTATTGTGTTGCGCCACGAAGAAGATGCAAAGACGGAATCGACGGTATTCGGATCTAAGTTCCCGCGTAAGAGGGCAAAGTTTCTCAGTTGTCAGTTCGAGAAAGTATTTGGGCGATTCTCGTCGGGAGCAACGAAGTGTCATACGTCTGTCTATCATGGCAGGTGATATGCGATCGAATGCTCCAATCAAGGAGCAAGAAACTACTATCACTCTGTCGGCATATCCGAATGGTATCGACGAGTCGTTAAAAAATCAACGAATTCCGATAGAACCAAACGTACGAGATCGATTAGTTGTCTCGTAGAGAAAATAACTGACATTACATAAGTGCATATAAAATAATTCTTATGTCATTTAATATATTGATCGAATTTATATTTTAAGAATATCTTTTCACAAGCTATTCCCGAATCACAATTTATCTAGTCGCGACTACTCGAAAGTTAAGAGTAGAAAGTTAAAATCGGCGATCTTTGAATTACTCTGTTACAGTATTAGGGTGGCATATTGTTCCTTAACACAATTCGAGATAATGTCACACGCGTGTATGTTTCTGTTTAAACATATTTGCGTTTCTCATATATAAAGAGACATATTTAATGATAAGATGTTGATAATAGTAGTGCCAGCGATAATTAACGATAAGCGAAGTAAACAGAACTGATTCTGTATGCTTTTTTGAAAAATTTCAATGTATTGTCCGACCAATAAATACTACATTCCGCCGAATAAATTACGCTATTAGAGTTTATAGCTTATTGTTAGACAAAAGTAAAACAAAATAAGATTTTAAGGCAAAAGCAACTGCGAATGTATACTACTATTTGTATAGGAAAGTAAATAGAGAGATAGAAGCCAAAATTGTATTATCAAACAATTCTTAATTACTGTAAAGATAGTATAATAAATAAATAAAGAAATATCTAATTGTAAGTCTGCAAATCTTGATCTCAATTGGATAAAATCCGCGATTCCGACTCGACAACCGAGTTATATTTTTATGATGTGTATCTATATAATTATATATACTTAGCGCATATTTATTATGTGTCACTTTGTACTTGTAATTGTACAAAAACAGGGAATATTTGAAAATTAGGAATAAAAAGTACAAATGTTAAAATATATATGCGAATTAAATAAACAGTATTGTAAACTTGCGTTATGTACACTTGCTTTCAAATATTTTATTGTAATATATTTTCTATATATACAAGAAAGAGAGAGAAAGAGAGTGAGGGAAAAGAGAAAAAAAATTAATTTTTATATTAAAATATAAAAATAATACGAGTTACATCATTTTTTAAACGTTGCAATTATAAAAAATACAATTTATTATTTTAGTCTTTATGTACAATTTTATTTTATTCGCAATCATGAGAAAAGTAAATAGAAAAGTTATTATTTTATTATTTTATTTTCCTTATTTAGAATTTATAAAAATAAACAAATTTTAAATATAAAATAAAATAAATTCCTTTTTTTAGCGGCACACAATGAAGTAAAAATTAACAATGTACACACGAAAAATATACAACATTTATATATATATATATATATATATATATATATATATAGTTTAAGAAATAATATCACTGTACTTGACTCTTACAAGAATAAACTATTACGACAAATGTGCGTATTAAATAACCAAATAACAGACTAAATAACTTACTTATAAAATACATCAATTGTATAAGCTCTAAGCCACGTTTTGAATGGATATGTTCACTTAATGATGAAGAGGATCAGCCTGATATTAATATAATAACGTTTACGAAACGTAACCAAAACGTCGGAATTAAGAGAGAGAGAGAGAGAGAGAGAGAGAGAGAGAGAGAGTATAATCTTTCTATCATAAACTTTTATTCTTGCTGTACAATTATGTAACATCCAATAAAATTATTGTTATTCTATGTGTAACCGTTCTTTTAAATAATGCTTTGTTTATTACTTAAACTTTTATAGATATTATTATTATTATTGTATTATTAGTTATTATTAGACTGAATATATGCATCAAAAATAATACAGAGAAAACACAACCAATATTTACAAATGTTAATTTACAATTAATATAAAATCTTTTTAATGTAAAGTTTTTAATACAAAGTAAATTTTATTAAATAAAATTTTTTAAAGTAAGTTTATAAAATATATATATATAGCCAAAAGAGTTAATCTATCTGTATGTTTATAAAGTTATAATTGTCAGCTGTATATTTGCATAGAAAATTTCTATGCAATTCCAACAAAATTGCATCTCATAAATATTCATTACCTAAATTCATTGTTTTAAAAATAGAAATTTGCATATATTCAAGAAATGATGTTTATTACGTAATCTAGTTTATAATACTTTATGCAAATATGTTACATTTCTATGCAAATTCTTATTCCCACATTTTCGTAATGTAACTCGTATAGTGTCAATTATTTTCTCTCTCAAAAAAAAAGAAAAGATATTACTTTTTCATTAAATAATATTGCTACTCTGACAATGAGCATAAATTATATCACAAATAATATTTATATTACATATAATACGCGTGTTAGATTTCTGATTATTTCTTCATAGCGTAGACCGTGCATAGCTTTACGACAAATGAATAATCGATATTGCTTTTGGCAAGGTAAGAGAAAACTAATAGTTAGCCAAAGGTGATAAAATAATTCTGTGTTCCCTTTACATATTAGTGGTAATTTTAATCATAAAAAGATGCAGCAAATATAGCTGCTTCATGTTATCATTCTAAACTGAAATGCTTGATATTATCACGCTATGGGTAACATGATAATTATCATAGGCAATTATTTAAAAAATTGAACCGAATTATTAGCTGTTAATGCAGTCAATATCTGCAGTAGCTGCATGTAATGTAGCTTTTAGCAGCAACTGGCTAATTGCATCTCTATGTATTTTCTTTACATTTCAAACAGATCCCTTCCTGTGCAGTGCGAGATAAGCTCTGTTGATAGCATTACATTTTTAAATTATACGAGAAATGAAGCTTTTATATGGAGCTTCTTTGGCAGCTTCTTTTGATAGCTTTTGTAGGTATCGCGGGTTTCAGTTATAGTTGCTTCTCTAGCTTTGAACAGAGATTACATAAAAATCACGACAAGATAAACCTAAAGGAATACTTTTCCAAGAAATACTTTCTTAACAAATATAAAGAAATATTAAAATCATTTAAATAAAGACCATAGTTAAGTAATATTGCTCATAAATAATAATATACATAGCACGTAGAGTGTACAATAGATGGCAACGCTATGGTAATTGCCAGTTGTATTTTTCCACATTAAATGCGTGTAAATTTCGCAATTTACAGAAGTCAACTTTCTTGTTTATAGAATATAGTGAAAATAAATGAGATATTTTTTTAATATAAAATTTAAAAATAAATGATAATTGGGGATAAATGATTATTATTTTTATGACTCATTTAATTATACATTACTTAGAAAAGATGAGCAAATTCAAATAAGGTGAGGATAGTCTTATATAGATAATAATAATCTCAATCACAAGGTAACTGGAAATAATAATTAATGTAACTAACAATTTTAATTTAAATAAGAGATCAAAAATAATATTGCAATAAATATATAGGAACATATATAGGAACATATATAAACAATTACAGTACAAAATTTAGAAATTTTCATTGTCAATCGTACATTAAAAGCATTATAATGCATCAGATGCATCATTGTCAGCTTTCGAAAAATCTTCGAGAAACCCACCGTGACGTTCTTGTTAAATTACCATTTGAATTGTTATAAAATTACAAATCACAAACGCATTGACAGAAATACATTTTCGCGCATATATTTTTACAATTAATTGTTCTGTGTGCGCGTACATAAAGAGATCGCAACGTTTCTCATCAAGAATGTTTATAAGACTTGTAAGAAGAAATCGATAATTTTAAAAACGAAAAATCTCGATTGCATATTCTCCATATTGTACTTGATTTTGGCTTAAAAAATTATATGAATAAAGCCTTTGACGTTCGATCACAGCTACTATATCGCTTTAATATATTATAATACGTGTTGAAACTTTTTTCATAAAATTTATTAACATTAAATCCGAGTAATACGACTTGCCCGCACAACGAAAGTTATATTATATGTAATATAACTAAATTATCCTTACGTAAAGAGTATTCGCTTCGGCTTTAGCGAACTAGGACGCGTGATATTAGATTCTCTCACTATCCCAAGAGCTCCAACGCTCCGTCCTGCTNCCTGCTGAAAAAGAAACTCCCTATGAGCATCCGGATCAAATAATAGCATGACATGATCCATTTGCATTTCGCATTTTTCATCCGTTGCGGCGTATCAACGATATCATGACTAGAGAGAAGCGTGCTTTTAATTTCAATAAAATCTACAGGTTTTTCGTCGGAGCGCATTTTTGCACGAGGGATTTGCGTCGTAAGATTCGAGTAAAAAAATTACGGATCACGTCATATCGCAAGTTTAGCAATGAAAATATTCCGCACTTCAAGAAAATGGTGAAGTACGATTCGTATAAAAGTGCACGGCTATATCCGAAAAGAGCTGATGTCGAAGCTTTTTTCGCAGCTTCATCGAATCGATCGTGTGAATGGTTAAGAGGGTAGAAACTTGTTAGCCGATTGATTCAAGTTGACAAAAGCTGACGATTTTAGGGATAGCTTCTAGGGACGAACTTTTTATCAGCGGCTGCGATTGCCGGAGGTGGGATCAGAATATTGGAACATTTTCAGGAGAATTTCTCCGCTACGGTGACGACAATTGCACCAATACCACTTTGCCCGGATCCCTAAGGATCACCCCAAGGTTCGAAAGATTACGGTCGACATCTCCGACTGCAGTATTTCGATGGAATCTTTCTCTCCGTGGTGAAAAACGGGAACTCCGATAAGATTGCATCCGGTCCAAGGAAGAGGCACCGTAATATATACCCTGTTCATTCGAACAGTCTTGATTAATTATTAAAAGAATAATCCTGATGAGATTATCATTCCCAAAGTCTTATGTAATACGTTCAAGATTATCTCGAAATATACAGATGTCATCAGAACTTTTATTTCCCATTCGCGTGTTTCACAAAAAAGAAAGATCTTTTTAGCCAATGGTAATGGGGGATTCTCTCAGAATATCGTGACTTAAAAAGTATTTAAAGGAAAAAATACAATATTCGAAAAATCTATTAAAATATCTACAAGATATTGATGCATCGAGTGACACCTGTCAAATATGTCACACATGCGTAATGCATGTTTTAAATTGACGCGCGATTCTGACAGAGTACACAAACGAGGGGTATAAAATTCTTATATTACACGTCGCGAAGAAAATATGTTTCGTGCCGTTCTCTTCCTACGAATTCTGTCATTCGACCATGAATGCTGCCGTTTTTAACCGAAGGCGAACAGGCGGAAACACCCTCGACATTGCCAACAGACCGGGCCAAACTATTTCAGAAACATGGTTTCGATGCTTTTTCGTTCTACGTTTAAATAATGACATAAGACAAGACAAAAACGTAGGACAAGACATTTTTCCTGGCTCTATTTTTATTGCAAGTAAATATATCAGCAAAAAAATAAACAATGTAATTAATACGTGATAATTAATACGTAATGGCAGCAAATTATATGTAATTTATTAAAAACTGATGCAGAAGAGAGTCTTTGTCAAATTCTGCATATTCAAACTTATTCGTGTAAGTTGGATAGCCGGGTCATAGCTAGACTATTGAAAGTTTGTCCGCAAACTATCTGAACACAATTGCCGGACATCCTGCATGTTCACACTAGAATTATGGTGAAATAGTTCGACCCCTCACTCACAGTGACACAAGTTGTGCAGCGCAAGTTCGTAAAACTCTTTATATAAAGTCGCGAAAGAAGTGGAAGATGGAACGGTAAAAAGAAACGATAAAATTGCCGGGTTCGAAAGTCGCCACGTCTGGCACGTGTTTATCATGATTGGCCTGATTCTTCTTATATCTTTTCCAAGCGCCAAAAATATCTCACGCTATGATTTTTCTGTTAATGTGAACGTGAGAATATCTATATTGGTTATTATGATGATACTAATCTTTTTGCGTGAAAAAATAACTTTTAGTCTCTCTCTATATCATACATTTTAAAATAAATTAAAGTAAATAATTATTTTTTATATTCTCCTTGTTTGCATAATAAATAAAGAATTAATATAATGTAAAAATAAAACTCTTTTTATATATTAATTTATCATTAAACGTATCGTCCACTTAATGCGCAGAATGCAAAATGCGTATCAAAACGTAAATAATAAATAGACTTGATGCGCACGGCATCTATTGTCAATAATATATTTTAATATCGTTATATTGACGCGCGCACGCGATAAACTCTTCCATGTTCAAGTTGTCTATGGATTCTGGACAATATTAATAGGTTTTATTTATATATGAATGGTATTATACTGAGTTTTATACCTCAAATAAGCATTAAACGAACAATTTTCTCACTTATAATTAGAGGTTTAAAAGAGAAGCTTTCACAAAAAGTTTACATTAAATAGTTTCAAAATAGGGTGCTCTTCTTAAAATATCAAAATAGGTATTAGACTGAGAACACAAAAACAGGAAAAAAATTTCGACTTGAGAAGAATAATTGATTCATTATCACTATTTATTGACAATTTGAGATAATAGATATTTTCGTGATATTTTAAGTAAATTTAAAATAAGCTCTATTATTTGCTATCTCTATTAAATTTGTAAATAAAATTATTCATATTAAAAATTTATATGTAAACCACCACAAAAGCCGTACTTTATTTAAAAAAAAAGATCTTATGTGGATGTGTGTGTGTGTGTATGCTTTCCGCATTAAGTGCGATACAAAGGCATCTTCATTTTGGACTTTCAACGCTTCCAACAGTACCTCAGCAGTTTATATACCGCTGTGAAAGCATTTGAAATACAGAGAGCAGTTAGTGTCGTAAGAACGCAGACGCTATTTTGCGCAACAGTCCAGAAAGGGAGTAGCCACGGCTGGATGCACTTTTATATGTGGCTCTGAAGCCCGATTTTCTTTTGCTTTAACAATATTTTTCAGTGTCACAAAGCGTGTCACGCAAAGCGCGTATACTATTGTATTCAGGCCGTGATACACATTTTCAGACAGTACTTATAGACTCAAAAGCGCAAAAATATTATTTAAGTTTTGGAAAGGAGTTTATTCAATAATCCTAAGTTTTCAAGTTCAACAACACATTTATTTTTATTAGATTATAATTTTATTAAATAATTTAAAAATATAATCAAATTAAATGTAATTTAATGCATATTGAATATTAATTATAATCGATAATAATATTTTTTAACACTTCATATAATTCCAAAATTTTTTCACATAAGTAAAGCGTTGACGTCAAGCCGTCTGCTTGTAATATAATGCTGGAAGATTATTTTAGGAAACCTTGCGAGGTCTAAAAAACGTTATTTTTTCTCGTGGGTAATATGAGAACGTTCTATACTTAATTTATTTAACTTTATAGATATACATATATTGCAAAGATAAAGTAAGAGCGTCAGCTATGCAAACATTTATTATCTTGGCTTTCCATTATCCCAGTGCTAATTAAGTCGATGATCGATTATCCTATTATTAAATCCCAGTTGAGCTTCGTAAAAATAAAGAGATAAAAGTCCAGTTGTCAATTCACGTAAATCTATCTCTCATGTCGCAAAGTTTTTTGATTACGGCTTTTTCCTCGATAATAATTTTTAATATAATTATTCTTGATAAAACATGAATAATTTTTAATACGACTACTTTTATTTTTAATATACCAATAGAGCATGTAAATAAAAATGCAAAATATAATTAGCTAATAATATAAATCAAAGCTAAAAGAAAAAAAACAATGTAACATTATTTATAGTATTAGCGGTTTAATTTCTTGTATTTTCTATTCAACCTTTTATCATATAATAAAGGTAAAAGTCTGGTTTTTTAAAATAAACCTCAAATTCCAGATTCCATATTTTTAGAATGGATTATAGATAATCCATTAAAATTTATATTTAATGGCCGTGTCTTTTGCTATATTTCTTGTATATTTCGAGACGACTCTCTGACAAAGAATAATATTATATTGACGTTCCGTCTTCGATAGAATAACAATCCTTTCAAACACAATGACAGTCTTCGAGTGCAAGATAATCGCAAACGAGTATCTATAGAATCACTAAAATGTAACAATAAATTTGATATTATTATAATATTTATAATAATATTAAATAATATTTATTGTTTAATATCGCACTGATATTTCTTTTATACTGCCTGTCATCTTTATGCTTTTCACATAACATTTTTGTCTCATCCAACTCTTTCATATAAATTAGAATTTTCTGCGATATCATTGTCCACTATCTAAAAAATATAGCGGAGGATAAGATTTTTCAATACACATCCTTAGGATATTAAATATCTGTTTAAAGTTTCTTTTCAACACCTCTCCAGCAATGTCCGACGTTATTAAAGAGTATTTGAACTTTGAAATATTTATTAATATTTATCTGTTTATTAAAATATTTATCTTATTATATAAGAAAAAGTTTTTCCAAGAACACTTTTTTTATGTAACATTTAAATTATGTAATTACATTGTTAAATGTTAATTACATTTTAAAAATATTCCAGTAAGTGTTCCATCGTTTTTTGCGTAAATCGATAAACCTAAATCTTACCACCTTATTACATATATGTATAAAAGCAACATAATCACGTGATACGTCAGATGCATCTCAGCCTGCGCTATTCGACAATCCCCATCTACGAGTCGCGACCTACCCCAAAGTCGGCTTATGGCTTGAATCGCTCGAAAGTCTCGCGCTAATCCGATCGTGATTTTGTGTGGAAATTACTGGTGCCTATTTTGGTGAACGCCGGTACGCGGTGTACGGTGCTCCCTTGATGATTGTGGTGCGCTAGGAAAGTTTAGATACCGTCGACGGATCCCAGGTGGATCTCTCTCTTAATCATGCACCGGGGACAGTATTTCTTCCGCAAGGCTATGGGAATGCGAGCGACCGCGACAATCGTCTTCCTGTTTCTCGGCGGATCCATCCTTCTACGTGAAGCTGAGGGTGAGTCACCATCCTAAATTTCCCGCTCGAAATTGGTACGCGAATAAATCCGGGATTATCGCTAAGAGTTCTGCGTAACCTGTCAACGCGTGTATAATGCAGCACGTGCATCTGACAGATACTGACAACTCTAAACAGATATGCACGAACGTAGCTGAGGATCACGGAGTTCGCAGGCATAAATTCAAACTAATATGATGGAGTAAAGTAAAAAGTACATGAAAGAGAAAATTCAAGGGCGAAACTTTCTCGAGATTGAGTTCTTGTCCTGCTTTTATAGCGCCAAAGTAAAGATCGCGTCCTTTTTAAAAATCACGACGAAACAATCATCGTCGACGTTTTCTGATGTGAAAACAAGGCAGCTGCTGCAATACAGAAATAAACTGTGCCGTAAAATCTACTTAACCCACCGTTTATAAAAGTCGTTTTATCACCCATAAATAAACGGTTATGATGCTGTTTGCGGAGCTTTCTTAGTAACTGTTAGTCACTCTCTGCGACACGGTTTCGACTTCTAAAGCCTAGAAGCTGCCATAATATGCACATCTACTAATGCTTTAATATATGTATTATAATATTTAACGATGAAGCAACGTCAAAAAAAAAAAAAAAAAAAATACGGAAAACAAAATTATGTCACATAGTGTTATATCTATATTAAAAAATAATAAGTTACTTCAAACATCAATCTTTGTGATACTATTATTGATTTATATTTTTTAACAGTTTTTCCCGACGAGATCTTCGATCAATTTAAATTTTACAAATTATCCAAGAATATATTTCGTTTTTTTATACTTCTGCGAATTACAAATACAAACAAAGCGTGTTCAAGAAGTATAATCGAGTTCGAAGAAGATTAAACAAAAATCTTTTTATATATGATATAACAGCCAAATTGTTCGCGAAAATGATCTATAGAATCGGGGTAGAAAATGTACAACGAGCTAACAAGCATACAGCGGATTGGGCTCCTTAATGTCTCCCTGAAGAGTTTCGAGGCTCATGGGAAAGAAGCGGGCGGACGTGCTGGGAAAACAATAATGCTCAGCGAGCAGAAATTCAGGGAAGAACACTTTTATAAACGCAGGTATAATTTCCCCCGCTGTAAAGCAACGCCCGTTGTCCCACCTGCTGCTGCGATTCAGCGAAACGAGATTTTAATGTTGCACGAATGGCAAACGCACGCTCGCGCTCTCCTTCGTCTAATATTCTCTCCCTCTCTCTCTCTCTTTATTTCTCTGTGTGCGTATATGTGTATGCAGCTATGTAATGTAACATAACGTAAACATGCACGAGAACGGGGACCTCGCGTGTTCAAGGCCGTGGAATAATAGCCACAGCCCACAGCCCCCGGATATGTGCACGGCCATTGAAAATCAGATGAAAGGGAAAAAAAACGAACGTCCCGAGTATCCGCACACGTCTTGAGGGGCTGCGAAAAAAATTCAAGCCGCAAGTATTTTTGTCCGCGCATACACTCACATTTATATAGACATAGACACATACAACACACACATACGTATACCTTGCTATCCAATATGCGTGCACGTAATCAAACCTTGTCGTATCGAGTGAAAAAAGGACTGTCCCCAATCGCGCTTTACCCGCGAAAATTCTCCATATCGCGAGGATAGAAAAGCGAAAAATATTTTCGCGTCCCAGAATTCCTATGTAAATGCGTGTGCCGGTTGTACCGCGCGTAAAGGCGCGGATTTAGCAGCACGGTTTTTGCAAATATACGAGCTACCCCTTCACGCAAGCGTGATTTTGCTCGTGACATTTCCCTACTATTTACACCGTACGTATTTATTTGAAATCGCATATGTTTTTTTTAATATACGTCGTGAAAAAATCTCAGAGAGAACCGGAATTTAAAAATAGCGATACGCAGCTGGCGCATCGATATATATTGCGATGAACGGGCACTCTTTAAATATACCCGTCGAGAATAAATTTACGCTGTGACCTTATCTAAGCTATTATACGATGCATACATAGATGTTATCTTGCGCAGAAAAAAATGTATAAAGTATTGAGATTTCGTTGCCGATATGTATCTTTGCATATAAACGACACCCTGAAAATCACTTAGCGGCCATTATGCGGCTTTAGTGTTCCTTAACTTTTGTTGCACGAAACAATTCGGAACTGTGCGCGTGTAATATATTTTCGTAAATTACATTTAGCAAAGTGTTGTACTATATTCAAAATACGTATTAAGGTACGATTAAAATTGAGAATGCGATAATTTGTAATATAATAGAATCGTTAATCATGAGAAATTTATAAAATAGTAAAAATATATTTTGATGAGTAATTGTTTAATTATTTATAATCACAATCTCTCTCTCTCTCTCTCTTTTTAATATAAAAATATTACCTAATAAATAATATATAATATATTAATAATATATACCTAATAATCAAACCGTGCGTAAGAGATACCCTAAGTTCACCTTTAATATTGCACACTTAGCATATTTAGCGTACATTTAGAAAAAATTACTTCACGACGCGATCTATCTCAATAGTAAAGTAAAATCTTAAATGCGTTAAACGAGATAACGTGCTGTCACTGCACTTGCATGTCGTGTGCGCGCAATTACGGGAATATTTCAAGTTTTAGTAATCTAGAAGCACGTCACGTGCTTGGCTAAGTCCCAAGCAAGTTCTAAATCCGTATGACCGCTTGCTCGAAAACCAACAAACATACGATAGGCCATGAAGCGCGTTAATGTAGCCAGTGCACGAGGGAGGCAAGTGCAACAGAAGCTTTCTAAAACCGGCGCTGACCGCTTGGAACGCGATATGTTGCACATCCGCATAGTGATAATACGCAAACATATGGAGCAATGCAAATTACGGAAGTTATACAGCTTATCATTTCTCAGCGTGGCAAATTAGGAATCGAGATCTGCCGAATTCGACGAAAATGTACGGTTTAATATATAAAAAAGAATAATCAAGAAAAAAGAAAAATTATAAACATTAAAAAATACTTGTTTAGTTTGCTTAAATTGCAGATCACATTTTTTTTTTAAAAGAGCTAATTCCAATAAATATTATTTTTGCAAATATAAAAATCATATTTGAACATATCTTTGGATCGTTATTTTCACCCAATTTAATTTTTATAACTCGTTTTGAAACAAGAACTTTTTAAAGAAAAAAGAGCTATAGAATCTTATCAATTATACAGAAATTGTGAAAATGGATTGCCAATTTTTAGAGAACTTACTTGAATAATATATAAATCTAAATGTGTTTAATTTAATTATTTAAAAATTGTAATAGCTATTTTGTTATGTACTGTACAATACTCACGAACATATTTCTACAAAATTTGATTAAACATTTTTTAAAAACTAAATCGCAACAAGATACATCAAAGAGAGATTTTTATAACAGCGCTGAATTTTATTAAATCAATCAATAATTTCAATCATGCATATATACATGTATTATATGTATTACACAGTCGGTGAAATTTATTATTTAAAATTTAGCAATTTGATTTTACGAATATAAATTTATTGCTGCAGTATTATTCCCATATTTACGGTCAATGTTTTTCACGTATATTTCTGCAACACCATAATATGTAGCTTGTAAAAAATTATTTGCCAGTTTTCGATAATAAACCTTTCTGTTATAAAAATGCCACATATTAGTTTTTATGAAAACGTGTGGTACGCATTTATTCTTTATCTATTTATATCTGTTTTTAATTTATTTAACGTAAATTTTAGTTTACTGATGTGTCTTATATATATATATATAAAAAGTTGTTATATTACTTTTTTTTATATATTTTTCATATTTTTCATGCATGGGAGTTTCCTGATATTTTCTGTACTTGTACTACACGGTGTATCATCACCGAAACTGGCAAGTTTAGTGACAGCCATGAGTGTAACGGATATACTTTTTTCAGGATACACCTCAACTTTCCAGTTTAATAAAAACGTGGCAACAAAAATGTCGAAAAATATAACGTAACTAGTTGCAATTATTTCACTCGTAGTCGTTAACAAGTACACAGTAATGAGGAACGTGAAATATTCGATCGATCTTGAAATACAATTAAAAATTGTAAAAATAAAAATAAAAATCAAATGTTCAAACTGACGCAATTTTTTAATTGGAATAAAATGTGATCATTTTCGAATGATATGTTAATGTATAAAGTGAATTTTTGAATCTATATAAAACCGCTCATTTTCTTACTTAATACCGAATTAAAGCTTATTTTTCGAATAAACATTTCCGCAAAAATGCATGCTTAATTAATTAGGAAGTGCTTGGAAATTATCATCACATTAATATTACATTTATCCGATGCTTCGTATAATCTCGAACACCTTGTTTATAATTGCAAAAACTGCGGAATCATTTTCGTGACTATTGTGTGAATATCGTAGCATCTCGTAATAAATATTACCTCGTTTGTTACGCGTGATACAAGTAATATATAATATACTGTGCTTTTGTCAGAAATGGTTTGTCACAAATTTTGTTCCAGACTTTGTTTCGCGGCAATCAAAAGTTCTGTTAACTAATGCAAAGTTTTATCAATTTACATTCAAAAGGATATTGTCGGGGGATATTAATAATAGTCACGCTGTGAAAGGAAGTCTGAATTTCTATATACTTACTTCTCATCGAAACTTTTGCATAAAAGTAAGTAGAAATACGAATTCCCTCGGTAATATCTCTCTGTATTTTTCGTGAACATTAATAAGGTACTTAACAGAAATGCAGTCCACCCTTAAGAAAGTAGCAAAGCGATCGAGATAACTACGCGAATTAACAAACCGTGAATAAACGGGGTCTGGAAATAGGGATTCCTCTATACATGTCCTAAACTGTATCGAGTAACTTTTCAGTCTTGTAGATACCTGAGAGAACACAATTTGTATTTTTTTCTTTCTGATAGAAATATGATAAGAGCCATAATTAAAATAGTTCAATTATTGCGACAACTAATGTTTTAAATA